ATCACACGTGCTGAGCCAACACCTGACTACTGAGCTATATTCCTGGTCTGGATTTTATAAAATGTCAATAAGGACTAGCTTTAGTTAAAGTCACCAGTCACATTAACCACTAGGAGGAGTCAGGACGCCCTCTGAAGCCAGTCATTGATTCTCTGCTCTAGGTGTGAGCGTCTCAGTATCTTCTTCCAGTATAGGGATGTTCTGTGGACACTGAGACCCCTGCTGTGTACTGTCCTTACTCATCAGTTGTCTTAAACAGAACTTGTCAAGCTATCCTCTGAATTACCTTTAATTCACTCTGTAAGAATCCTGCAGACTTTTACAATGACAGCAGACTAAGTCCACTGAAATGACCAGTAAGAACTAAAAGAGAGGTGGGTATGGTGGCAAAGGCCTGTAACCCTGGCTACTCCAGATGCTGATGCAGGAGGATTAAAAGTCCAAGGCCTGCATGAACTAGGAGGAGCTCAAGGCCATCTTGGGCAATTAGGTGAGGCCCTGTCTCAAAACAAAATGTCCAAGTGGGCTGGGGACATAGCTCAGCGATATAGTGCTTGCCTAACATTCAGGAGGTCCTGGGTTCAAGCTTCAACACACAGGGTTGGAGTGGAACGTGGGAGCAATGTATAGCTGTAATCTGAGCATTTGGGAGGTAGGGGCAGAAGGATTAGTAGTTCAACGCCATCCTTAGCTACTCAATGAATTCTAGGCCAACATGGACTATGTGAGATCTTGTCTCCCCAAACAAACTCCTCCCCAAAAGACAAACAAAAATATATGTTTAAACAAAAGAATACCATGTAGCTTAAAAGGATGAGGCCCATCTACATATACAAACAAGGCAAAGTGCTCAAGGTATATTATTGAATATACCAGAACAGGCAACTAAAATGTGATTTCTACACACAGTACACATGATCAGAAATAAAACAGTGATATGTGCTCTGAGTGCCCCCCCCCCAGCTGAGGACTGAACCACTGAGCTAAATCCCCAACCCCAAGAGGTTCTATTTTTATGAACTGTCCAGAACAGGCAAATCTAAAGAGACAGAACTAGAGTAATGTCACTTAGGAGTAGGAAAATGAGGAGCACTCCCATTGTGGGGTGTAACAACTGAAGATACTCCATTTCTTCTTGGAGCACACTTCCCTACTCCACTGCAGGCCCTTATGCTTTCACTGTTACACGGCTGTGAGACTAAGTCTTCTTCAAGCACGTACGGCCTTCTGGTTCCATAACCATCTAATTTCATTGACCTAGTATCTCAATTCTCTTCTCATTTAAATTTAGTTTTCCCCCCTGTCTTTCAAAAGCATTACTATATATTTAAATTTTAAATTACATTCATTTATTGACTGGGGGGAGGGTTGGGATCATGTGCTGCCGTGCATATGTGAATGTCACAAGACAACTTGTAGGACTCTATTCTCTTTCCAAAACGGGGACTCCTGGGCTCAAACCTGGAGGCTTGGTGGGAAGTGCCTTTACCTGATGAGCCATCTTGCTGACCCCAATAGACTTGTTTTTTAAATATCTTTAAAAAAAAATTATTTAATGTATATGAATATTTTGCCTATATATGTGTGTGTGTGTGTGTGTGTGTGTGTGTGTGTGTGTGTGCGCAATCATGTCATGTGTGGAGCCTTTGGAGGTCAGATGAGGGCATCGGATCCTCTGGAATTGGAGTTACAGATGGTTGTAAGCTATCATGTGGGTGCTGAGAATTGAACCTGGGTCCTCTGCAAGACTAAAAAGTGCTCTTGGGGTTGGAGAGATGACTCAGGGGTTAAGAGCACCGACTGCTCTTCCAGAGGTCCTGAGTTCAATTCCCAGCAATCACATGGTGGCTCACAACCACTTGTAATGAGATCTGGTGCCCTCTTCTGGCCTGCAGGGACACATGCAGGCAGAATACTGTACACATAATAAATGAATAAATGTTAAAAAAAAAAACCAAAACAGTGCTCTTAACTGCTGAGCCAATTCTCCAGCACAACCTGCCACCCCCAGCACAACCATTTTTGCTGAACAGCCCATCTCATATCAGACTTAAAATGTCTACCAAGCATATTGAAAATAGGTGTGCCATCACACCTATTTGCTTATTTATTTATTTCTAAAGCACATGCAGAGAGGATTTAGTATAGTTCTCAGGAGGCCTAGGATTTTTTTGGTCTGTGGTGGGGCAGAGCTGGAGAGCAAATCCAGGGCTCACACACACCATGCAGATGTTCCATTAGGTCCCACTCTGGCCACACCCCTTCTGGCCTGAGGTTTCTTTGCTTTTGTTTTTTTGGTGTGTGTGGTACTGGATATTGGACTTAGGGCATCACACGTGCTGAGCCAACACCTGACTACTGAGCTATATTCCTGGTCTGGATTTTATAAAATGTCAATAAGGACTAGCTTTAGTTAAAGTCACCTGTCACATTAACCACTAGGAGGAGTCAGGATGCCCTCTGAAGCCAGCCATTGACTCTCTGCTCTAGGTGTGAGCGTCTCTCAGTATCTTCTTCCAGTACAGGGATGTTCTGTGGACACTAGAACCCTGCTGTGTACTGTCCTTACTCATCAGTTGTCTTAGCGTGAGCTCCTGGATAACTCACTACAGTTGGCACTGGCTGCTTCACCTGCTCCACATTAGAGAGAGTGTCTTTCCTTGAGCCGATAACGAAGCTATCGTTATCTACAAGCTGCAGTGTTCTTGTTTTGTTTTTTTCAAGACAGGTTTTCTTGGTGTAGCCATCACAGTCCTGGATCTCACTCTGTAGACCAGGCTGGCCTTGAACTCACAGAGATCTTCCTGTCTCTGTCTCCTGAGTGCTGGGACTAAAGGTGTGCGCCACCACCCCACCTGGATCAATCTTTTTTTTTTTTTTTTTCCTGTAGCTTTCTCACCTCTCTACACATTCACAGAACTGGAGTTAGGACCTTGCTCTCTATTAGACTCTGGTTTAAGGGAATATTTAGCAGCTTTGATTTTATTTTCTGTCCAGATCACTAAAACTTATCCCTTGCAGCAATAATGATATCTTGCTGTATTAATCATTCATATGTTCACTGGTTTCAATTTTCTTCCAGATTTTTAAAAATTTTTTCGTTGACCTTGAACCTGCTTTCCCTGTTTTCTGAATATTGGGAGTATAGGTGTATGACATCACTCCTGGCTTTCTTCTCAGCTTATCACACCTCCCTAAGCATAATCATTTATAGTTCTTCAGCTCACTTTATGTCTCCTGACTTCCAGAGAAAAGTGTCTGATACTCCTGCCCACTTGAACATCTCTGTGAGTTCGAGGCCAGGCTGGTCTACAAAGTGAGATCCAGGACAGGCACCAAAACTACCCAGAGAAACCCTGTCTTGAAAAACCCGAAAAAAAAAAAAAAGAAAGAAAGAAAAAGAAAAAAAGAACACCTGTGATGCTTAATAAGACAAATCACAGTAATGTATGCCTACAGCCTATAGTATCTTTTTAAAAGGAGGTGCAAATTTTCCCTTTGATTCCAGCAATGTATTCTATATGGCAAAGTACCAGTATGCCCCTTTAACAGAGCAAAGAAACCCTATAACTAGAAACCTATCAATCACAAAATACAACAAATCTTGGTATTTTGTTGTTGTTTGTTTTTTGTTTTTCAAGACAAGGTTTCTCTGTGTAGCCTTGGCTGTCTTGGAACTCACTCTGTAGACCAGTCTGGCCTCAAACTCACAGAGATCCACCTGCCTCTGCCTCCCCAGTGCTGGTATTAAAGGTGGGCGCCACCACCAGGCTTTTTTTTACATGTTGTTTTGCAGTGCTGGGGACTGGGGGCTTCCCAAAGGCTAGGAAGTGCTCCACTGAACCACTGAGCTACCTCCCGGACCCAAAAAGTAACAGGCCTAACTATTAGGAAGCTGCACTCCTGGATATGGTTTAAGTTTTCTTTTTCCTGCTCAGAGTTACAAGTAGGAAGGGCTACCCAAATAAACGAGGGGACTCTGTAAGAGGTACACTGTACCTGAGGTATAAACTACCTCAGACCTTTCGAAGTACAAATGAACTCTGACTGATAAATGTGAGAACTGCCCATTAATTATCTGACTTCTGGCTCTGTGACCATAAATGGAAAAATGTTTTATTTAGCTTTCTAATGGAGTGGAATGGAGAATATATCCTGCTTAAGATGTACCAAAATAGATTTTCATTTGTTCAGAATTTTAAAATCTAGATTCAAAATTGATGTCTCTAATAACAGTCAAATCACTGTTTTCTGAATTGTGATAATTTGATTATTCCTGGCCAAGTATGCATTAGATTTCAATTTACTGAAAACTGCCATTGCTGGGTTTACTGAAAATAAAATGGCCAGTAGTTCATTTAATGCGATCCTCACTTCCTTTTTTCCATGTATTTGGATAGAGACGATTATTCTGTATGGCATATGGCACAGGAACATGAAAGTATGATACTCACACTTGGCATACAGACAGTCCATCATTGACTGCACTAAGTCCAGTTTGGCTTTAATGGAAAAGTTGATGAAGTTGGTATCGACGAGGATGTGGTAAGGTGGACCCAGCTGTGTATTATACTGGAAGAATAAACAGGAAGGATGCTGGGGGCTGGAAGGAGAAAGAAAATAAGATCACAAACTAAAGTCTGCGTCAGTAAGTTTGATGTTAATGAAACCAGAAATGAAGTATCTGCTGGGGAGCTCATCACAGGCAACTGTCCTCTCCCCGCGCTCACTGCAAGCAGAAGTCAGGAAAGGGGCTGAAGTGGCTCAGCAATTAAAGAGGTCCTACTGCTCTTGCAGAGGACCTGGATTCTGTTCCTAGCATCGACACTGGGTGTTCATAACTGCCTGTGATTCCAGCTTTAGGAGATCCTCTGCCTCTAGCTTTCAGACTCCCAAACTCATGTGCACATGCCTACACACATGCACATACTTTTAAAAAAAATGTTAACAGCATGTTAATCTCCATTCCACTGCAAAGCTGTGACACAACTTTAAAAACACAATTTCCCCAAACCTAGTTCTTCCTTGATCAGGACAGTCACAGGGCACAAAGAGGCAAAATGTAATCAGCAGGATTAGAACCAATGCCACAGCAAGTTTGTCATTCTCAAAATCCTAAATTGGGTGTATGAAATATAAACGATTATCTATCATTAGGATTACATATCATAGCAGAGCCCGTTACTCATCTAAAAATCCATGATGTTCAAACATTAGTAAGTGAACCAGTATCTACCTGTGACAGTACAGCCTCTGTGAACCCTGAGCAAAATATGAAAAATGTGGTGAAGTTAAATACACTTATTTTAAAGGAATGACCTTCATCCACAATATACTAAACTTACCAATATTGGGTACTATAGTCTCTCTTTTATGAAATTTTGGTGCGGCAATTATTTATTTTAAAAGATTTTTTTTGAAGCTGGTTGTGGTGGGTGGTGGTGGTGGTGGTGGTGGTGGTGGTGGTGGTGGTGGTACACGCCTTTAATCCCAGCACTTGGGAGGCAGAGGCAGGTGGATCTCTGTGAGTTTGAGGCCAGCCTGGTGTACAGAGCAAGTTCTAGGACAGGCTCCAAAGCTACACAGAGAAACCCTGTCTCAGAAAAACAAACAAATAAAAAGAAATTTGAAAGGAAAAAAATTTTATTCCTAGTGCCTGAGGGGAAAATTTACTGCTCCATGGGATTCATAAACCTTCACAGCATCAACATCAGTATATGCTCATTAATATCACTTTCATTTGTGAATGTGCCAAACTTACTAGTAAATAACTAACTTAATAGCAAATAAGTCAGCTTGTGGAAAGCCTGCATTCTTAACAGAGCCAATGGTTTAGGATCTCTTGGTTTTAATGGAAAACTTGAAGTTTTTTAATACTCACACTTCTCTTTCCTTCAGCGCACTGGGATCTTTCTTTTCTTTCTTTTTAGGCTTTAATCTATCCTTTTCTTTACTGCAAAAAAGTAAATTCAGAGAAGAGGAAAAATGATATAGTTAAAATTTCATTCGGAAGCTGAAAATTTCGACTTGTTGGAGATGTCACTCAGTTGTAGAGCACTAGACCAGTGTGTATGAAGCTCTAGGTTCAATCTCTATCACCTCAAGTTCCATTCTAATATCTTTTCTTCCTTTTATTTTTTTTAAGGCACCAAAGCAATCCAGTTTTGCGACTTTGTGATGTTAATATTAACACACACTTTGACAGCAAGTAACTACAGTAGAAAGTAACCTGAAAATATCATAATTAATCAGACCAATAAACTCAAAAAATTGTTAATGATTAAATTCTAATTATACTGTTAACTTTTTTCTTAGTCATTATTCCTCTTATCAATGATTAAAATCTAATTCCAAGAGAGTAATGGGGGTTTACTATGATCAAAAGACATTCTATACCTGTTTGAAAACATCATTATGAAACTTATTATGTGTAATTAACATATGCTAATAAAAATCCACTTTTAAGAGCCTGTGAAGAAGTTGATATTAATCTTCTGAATACTTCTGAATATCCCAAGCTGGGCATGGTAGCCTTCCCAGCACCATGAAGGCAGAGGCAGACAGGCTTCTATGAGTTTGAGGTCTGGTCTATATAGCTAGTTCCAGGCCAGCCAAGGCACCCTGTCTCAATAAGCAACAACAACAACAACAAAAAACCCAAACCAAAACAAAAAAGACTCAGATCACCAATATAGGGGAAAAGTTGCCCCACATTCTTTATTAAGGCCTAAGACATTACACACATATAAAATTGAACCCTTAACCACAAAGAAATTATCAGTGGGACATCATTCCTTAAAGATATACAAAAAAAATCCACACCAGAAGCTGAGAATAAGTCTGAAGGCTTTAATGCCCCTTCTCTGGTTCTGAGACTCTTCAACACAACCAAGGCCAGTTTTTAAGCGTTCACCAGTCTTTACTGATGCAAGGAAACTGGTTGGTTCGTCTTTATAATGGGAAATACCATTCTAGTTTCTTCTAACATTTTGAATCCTTATAATTTTATAAAATGGAAGTATCTTGGAGTTTTCCCGTCCTTTCTTTTAAACTTGGGTGTCAGGAATTGGAAACTGAAGACAGGCATGGCGTGCCTTACCGGCTTTTCAACAATGACACCATCCTCTCCACCCCCCAGAATGAGTGACTATAATTCCATGCAATATAGATCTAAGACATAATAAGCAAAACAAAAATAACAAATTTTACTACTTAGCCCATCGTAATTCCTGTATCTCTGATCAGTTTTAAGAAACCAGTTGATTCTGTCCACTCACAGTCTCTCATCTCTGAGACTAAGCATCCGCTTCATAGTCGCATATTTCCTTGTTTTCTTCTGCTTCCCCTTGAAACGGAAATTTTCGAGTTAAAAAGAGTTGGAAACACAGTGCATCCTTTAAAGTTCCCTTCTATTTTTCTTGCCGATTCTCTTTTCCGCAAACACCACCCAGCCCCTCTCCCAACTCCCTAAAACTTAGGTTCCTTCGAGCTAAGACCAGAATGGGAAAAAAACAAAAGCAAAAACAAAAACAAGGGACGCTCCAAGGCTGTATTTGGCCAAGCGCTGAGCTCCCATACGCCCGCAAAGAGCTCTGACAAAGTTCCTTCTCCCACTCTCCTCACCATGTTCACGCCGCACGCCTGTTTCTTCCGGAATCACTCACAGCGCGACACTTTTACGTCATCAATACACTGCTTCCGGCAAAGGCCAACCCGGAGGCGGAAGCCACTTTGGGAAACGGAACACCTGCGAACCGGCTCTTAGCGCCGGTTGAAATCGAGACTGGGGACTTCTGGGGGGCGGGTGCAGGGCAGGTTTTGTGCTGGATGCGGCCCCTGCCTCCCCGGACTGCAAAGCTAAGACTTGGCCACGCTGCAGCCCCAGTTCGGGTAACGTTTCCCTTCACGCCCCAGCCAGAGGCAGAGCCTAGCCGACCCGCAGGCACCGGAGTTCCAGAAGCAGAGCGAGAGAGGGGACGAGGGCAGCGGGGTCGGAATCCTGGGCTGCCCCGAAGTTTGCAGACACACTTTGTTTGCCCTCCGGCTCACCGGGGCTCTGTAGTTCAGCCTGGAGCCTCTGGTTATCGCTGGGTTTTCCTTCGCCGGCATAGCACTTCATGAGACTGGGTGGACGAGTCTTCGGAAAGAGAGGGATTGGAACAGCGCTTGAGGACCCCCCACTCCCCATCGTGTGTGTGTGTGTGTGTGTGTGTGTGTGTGTGTGTGTGTGTGTGTGTGTGTGTGTAAGCACGAGCGTGCAGGTGCATTCAGAGCAGAAGTCAGAAGAAGCTAGTTGTCTTGCTTTCCACTTTTTTTTTAAAGACTGTCTCACCGAACCTGAAACGCCTCCTCCCTCCCCCTTGCTTTGTTGCTAGATCGCCTGGCCAGAAAGCCCCAGCGATACTTCCGTTTCTGCCTCCCAGCCCCGGGGTGACAGACACTTGCCACTGAGCCTGGCTTGCTTCCTACCCAGGTCCTGGGCATCCAAACTCAGGTCTTGACTAAGCCAACTACCCTGGTCGCGGCGGCCTTCTGTAGATGATTGCAGGAAAATGGGTGCACAAGCTTGTATGTGCATCTCCTTACCACGCCTCGAATATGGTGGGGGAACCACTGATACTTGTTAGGAAGCCTGGCGTGCCATCGTCCTTAACGGGACAGGGAGGAATTGTGAGAACGAGAAAGATAACTTCTGCGATGTTTGTTTTTTGTTTTCTGCTTTTTGCTTTTAGAACCTGCTATGTATTCTAGTTATTCCTAACCATTTAGAGAGGTTTCTTTTTACCGCCTGAACATCTGTGGAAAGCCAGGGTCAGTTTTCCTGAAAATGGATGTGGGTATGCATGCACACACACTTTGACTTGCAGCTTGTGAGACTTCTAGACTATGTAAACTTCATTTACTTGGCACTTGGACATTCACAGTACTTGAAATACCTTTGTTTTATTGATGTTGAAGCTATGGTCTTGAAGCTGTTTGGTTCTAAAGCTTGTGTTTTTCTTAGTGCATGTTGCTGACCTAGTGTTACTGGCTTAAAAAGATGTTCCCGTTAACACTGCCAGGGGTGCGTTGGTTATTCATCTTCAGAGTTTGACTGGCTGCAGTTTAAACCCTCTTTCATGTTGCTTGCTTGCAATGTATTACTTTGGGCCATCAGTTGGTGCCTCTGTTTCTTCATCTGTAAAGCTGAGATGATCATCATAGTGTCTGTATTACAGGGATGACATCAGGACTTGTGTTTTCATACTGATAATCAGTAAGTCCCTAGAAAGCTTACCATTAAGGTAACTCTTTTAGCTGGGTGGTGGCACTGGCCTTTAATCCCAGCACTCGGGAGGCAGAGGCAGGAGGATCTCTGTGAGTTCAAGGCCAGCCTGGTCTACAGAGTGAGTTCCAGGACAGCCAGGGCTACACAGAGAAACCCTGCCTCAAAAGACAAAAAACAAGAGCAACAAAAAAAAGAAAAAGCAACTTAAGTGTTTTCAGTCATTTCATGTTGTGTTTTTCCAACTTGAAATGATACGACATTTGCATGTTAATATATTTTTACTATTTTGAAGTGAGCATATTGGTGAACCTCAGAAAACTTATTAAATTTTCAGGTCTCTGTAACGGGGCATTTTGAGTTGATTTGGATATAGAACTGGTGTCCTTCCTTCTGTTTTTTGGGCACATACCAAGTTCAGATCTTTTTGTAGTTCACATATCTGTGGGTTGCAAATTTTGGGTGTTGAAATAGTTTTATTATTGACACATCTTTAGAGATTGTCTGTACCTCCTGCTTTACCCCCATGAAATTCCTAATCTTCAGAACAGTTTGTCTCTGCCTAGCTGTCATTCATGGGTAGAGTTAGAAACAGCCACATTTTTTTCTTAATTGAAACATGTTAGTGATTAGGCATTTAGCCTTTTAAGTAAACATGGTCAGTTTTTTAAAGACCTTTGGAGATTGATTGCAAGTGTGTGTGAGCGCCTGTGTGTGCTTGATTGAGAGCACTTGAAGAGAAAATTGCAGCTAGTTAAATTGTAATTTGCATTTAAATGCAGGCACTGACAGAAAAATCCTTTCCTCTAAGTTTGAAATCCATGAACTGTTTTTTTTTCCCCCTTATTTCATTTTAAAGCGGTTTGCAGGTTCTGTTCTGAGAACTTTCTGATCCCTTGATTGTTACTATTTGATAGGGAGCTAAATTAGTGTAGGAACACTGTGGGGGTAGGACATAGTTAGAAAGTGTTTCTGCTGCATTGTAATTTTGTCATGATGAGATTCCTAAGCCTGCGATTAAAGTCCTCAGCTATTATGTAGCACTCTGATAGGGATGGAAAGTATCGTGCTTTTGACTGTGTTGGGTAGGAGTAGAAAGGAAAGTAATCACTTTTGACTCCACACGTGTGAGGAACAGGATTATTTTAGTCCTTCTCAGAGGTTCAGAGGGCCGTTTTGTATTTTCTGCATTACTGAAGAGAAAGAGTCTCTGAAGCCATCGATTGAGTCCACAGTTTGAATACTTAATTGGACTTGGACTACTCATTCATTGGTCTAAATACATTTTAAATACAATTATGACTAGTGGAAGAGCCCCTAGAGAATGCCTTGTATTTCAAATTAATTTAGAGATATTATTTGTAGTTTCAAACTACATTTTTACACTTATCTTTATGGTTCATATGTTGTTCCCCCAACAATCATTTGTTGCTCCCAATTACTTTTTAATTTAACTTGATTACCTTTAAATGAGGTAGCAGGGCTGGAGAGATGACTTGGGTTTGATTGATGACCCGAATTTGATTCCCCATATCCACATCTGACAGCTCATAACTGCCTGTAACTTTAGCTCAGGGGGTTTGACAGCTTCTTTTGGCCTTCGTGAGCTCTCAAGAGCATTCACAAACACAAACACACACACACACACACACACACACACACACACACACACACAGAACACATACACATAAAATAAAATTGAAAATAAATAATTCTTTAAATGTGGTACTATAGGATACAACATGTTCTCCTAGGTCTTGATATTGGGTTGGTCTATATGACACTTCAGAGGTACATTACTTCTACATATTTTTTTACAAGGCATTTCCTGAGAGTTCATTCTGTCCCAGACAATATGCTAGTTACTCTAAAAACTCAGGCTCTCTTGAAGAGTGACTTTTAAATAGTTAAATATTGTGGAGTATGGTCAATGAGGTATAAAAGTTGAAATATTTTGGAGAAATTACTGCACCTGTTCATCCTTCTAGAAGGGTCCTGGTTAGAGTATTATGTAATACTTATTTACTATAATCAACATATCCTATAACAGTTTAAATTTTATGACCTTAGTGAGTTCTAGTATTTTTTTCTTTTCTTTCTTTTCCTTTTTTTTTTTTTTTTTTTTGAGACAAGGTCTGGAGTATCATGAGCTGGCCTTGAACGTGGTGTTCAGCTGAGGATAACCTAGAACTTTGTTTTGAGACAGGGTCTCCCTACATCGCCCTGGCTGGCCTGGAACTCAAGAGATCTGCTTGCCCCTGCCTCCAGCGTGCTGTGTTTAAAGGTGTGCTCCACCATGCCTCGCCACCTGGAATTTCTTGATCCTCCTGCTTCAACCTCCTCAGTGCTGGGATTACAGGTGGGCACCACCAGACCCAGTTCACGCATTGCTGAAGATCAAACCTCATGCTAGGCAAGCAACTCTACCAGCTGAGCTACAACCGGGACCCTCATTTTACCCTTTTAAATGTCTCTAGCCATCGATTACCTTAGGTTTAAATATAAGTTGTTGTTCTTTGGTGCCATTTTCTTTGAAAAGTTATTGAGTATTTACCCTTCATTTTTTATAATAATGTTTCCAAACTTTTGAGGTGGTTTACATACTGTTCTGCATCGTGTACATGTATGTGTCTGTGTTTATATGTGTGTGTGCGGTTTGCCTGTTATTATTGAAATGCTGATATTAATCGCATTTTGTGTTCATTGTACTTTCTGGCCAGAGATCAGATAATTGTAATTTAATAATAAGCAACATCATTTTATGTAATGTGGTAATAGTCTTAGCTAGTTCTTAATAGTTAATACAGATCTCTCAGTTTTCTCCAGAGTTCTAGCCCATGGTATTTTAACCCTCGTCCACTTTGGGAAGTTCAAATGCAAGCATGGCCTCTGGTGTAAATGGTAAAGCTATTTGGAAGAGAAAGTAGCTGAGACCTCCCAAGTGTGAAGCACTTTCTCACATTTTGGTAAAGAAGGCAATGCAGATGGGCAAATAGTATGTTGAAAGGAGTAGAAAAATATTAATTAAGTGTTTTAACCTTACACTGCTTAAGGTAGGGCAGTGATTAGGAAAGCAGCATCCGCATCCGACTTGTAAGGGATAGTGAGGATATAAAATTAGCCAACTATATTTAAGTTAAAAAATGGAGTAATCATTTTAAATTCATAGAAAAGTTTAAGAGAAATGCAGAGTGTTCATATCTGCTTCTCATCCAGCTTTTTCTAATGTGAACTTCTTACATAACCATGGCACATCTGTTGCAGCTAAGAATTTAACACTGGTAGAATATTATCTACTAAACTACAGACTTGTGAATATCACAGAAATTTCAACTCACCTTCTTTTTCTATGCAGAATCCAACCCAGAATTCCAGAGTGCAGTTAAACTGTGTAATTCAAAACAAAACCAAACAAAACAGGGTCTCCTTATGTA